CCCCTCAAAGACAGTTTCTATTACTTGCTTTTTTCCCTGTGACTTTGTCAAACTTTCCTGTTTTTTTGTATGTCCTACAATTTTTTCATTTAAAGAAGACATCTTAGATAATATATTGTGGCAAATCCAGACACCAATTGCTGCCCTTTTCTCCCCCTTGACTTGCACTGTTGTTGTTTTGTCATTTTTTTAAATTTGTTTTTAAAATTTGTTTAGTGGGTGAGATAATTCTATGAAGTCTATTTCCCTTTCAATTTTCAGCCTTTGATATCCCTGCTCAGATTTTTCCCCTTTATTTTTATATTTTAGCCTGGTTTCCTACGGTTTATTTCTGAATTAGTATAAGCCACTTATTGCTTGATGGCTGTGTGTAAACCCCCTTAGTCATTTTTATTTTCACTATTTACCATTGGATATGTGTGTGGCTTGGAGTTTAGGGAATTTACTATTTTCCCACATGTTCAGCCAGGGACTAGTAGCTTAGAAGTTCTCTCTCCATTTGCTCCTGAGAAGACACAGCCTTGGAAATGTGCACAGTCTTTCAGCCCACTAGGGATAAGTACGATTTTATTTTTAGGCCTGGCTTACTAGGAGTTGTCCCTAGGTCAGAGTAGCTTGTTGTTCAGGCAGTATTTGGCTAGAGGTTATACTTAAGTCCATTGAGCCGGCAAAGTCTCTGCCCTTGCTGACAGATCTGTTTGTGGCTTGGGAAATGCATTTAAATCTGCTCTACTTCCTGCTCTTATTTTTCCTGAGTTGGTATATCCTGGTACATGCACAGTGTTTTAGATCCTTAGGGATATATGTGATCCTAGGGACTCTGTTTGGTTGTCTCTTTCACTGGTTTTCTCCCGTTAAGTTTCTGGCTGGGTTGGTATTACACTTTTTGTTGCTAGTATCAGGGAGCTATTAATACTAACCTTCTCTTAATTGTGCATCAGGTAGATCTCCATTGTTTTTAACAATACCCTTAGGTATGGACTTCTCAGTCCTTTGTTCCAAATAAATTCAGTCATCTGAGGCACAGCTGCAGAGCACTTGTCCTTCCAGCCTGCCCGTCCTCCTGGGCAGAGTATTTGTGCCACTGCACTAGAGTGCGGGAATGGGGATGGTAGTCCGCTTCTAATGGAATTTAATCTCTGTTCTGTAAGTGGGCACTGGGGAGGGAGATGGTATCCATTGGTCTTCTCACTTGTCCCTTCCAAGGTGGAACCTCTGACCTGTGACTAAAGTGGGATGGGACAACTGGCCCAGCAATTCTTTGCCTTCTTTGTCTGGGCTAAAGCTTTTGCCCTATGAGTAGGGGCTAAGTGGGAGAAGGGAGCTCCAGTTCTCTTGGTCACGTCTACTAAAACAGAGCAAATGGATCTTGGGAGAATGATGCACTAGCAACCTGATTCCCCTGGGGTGAAACCATAGCTGGGGGGAGAGGGAGCTAGTTAGCCCCCATCTTCTTGGCTACACTTGCCCAGAGTAGAACTCCAAAATATGGAACTGAGGAAGGGGTATGGAAGCAGGTCATGGCTCAAATGCCACAGCCTGTTGCTGTTTTTACCAGGATTTAGTAGATTTTTTTTGATAAATGTTTCTCAATTTTCTGTATGCCTTAGGACAATTCACAGAGACTTTAAATGATTGTTTTTTAAAAATAATTTTCACCAATTAGTATTTTCTCTAGAGAGGGTCAGCCAAGTTCCTCACACACCCATTCTGAAAGTCCAAAATCAAAGTGTTTTTTAAAAAGATTTCCAAACATTTGGCAATTTTCAAGATATTTTTCTGTTATTGGCTTCTAATTTAATGCTCTTATGACTGGAGGACACATTTTGTATGGTTTTAATTCTTTTGGATTTGTTAATGTTTGCTTAATGGCCTATAACATGCTCTATTTTGGTGTAATTCCACGCACACTTGAAAAAATGTATATTCTGCTGTTGTTAGGGTATTGTGTAAATGTCAATTAGATCTAATTCATTGATAGTTTTTTTAAACAGGTATTATATATAATTACTGTGTACTTGTTCTATCAACTATTGAGAAAGACATGTTCAAGCCTCAAATTCTAATTATGGTTTTCTTTTTCTCCTTGTTCCATGTATTTTGAAGATCTGTTTCTTGATACATTTAGGTGCATACACATTTAGAATTTTGGCTTCTTGGTGCATTGATCCCTTTATCATTATGTAATCAATGTTTCTTTTTATCCCTGATATTCTTTGTTCTGATGCTTACTTTGTCTAATAGTAATATAGCCACTTCTTTTGATTAATACTTGCATCCTATAACCTACCCATATCTTTATATTTAAAGTAGGCCCATAGTCGAGCCTTGATTTTTAAAAAATCCAATCTGATGATTACTGTCTTTTAATGCATGTGATAGAACATGAACACAAATTAACAGAATTATTAATTCATTTAACAGAACATTTATACTTATAATGTAAGTAAAATATGGTTAGATTAAACTTTACCATCTTGCTAGTTGTTTTCTATTTGCTCCATCTCTGTTTCTCTTTTCCTCTGTTTCTGCTTTCTTTTAAGTTAACAGAGTTTTTTAAATGATTCTATTTTATCTTCACTATTGTCTTATTTGTAGTTATTTAAAATGTCCCTTGAGTTTACAGGATATATTTTTAATTAATTGCCCTCTTCCTACAAATAATAGTATCTGCTTTTTATGTAGTGCAAGGACCTTATAATAGTATCCTCCCTATTCCTCTCTCCTATCCTGCATTAGTATTCTATTGTTGTCTGTACTATGGTAAAATCATTCTGATAACTAATGTTAACTAACTAACTTAGTTGATAACAAACTTGTTTGAATCACAAGTAATGTCAAGCTTCTTTATATAGTTACTGTGCTGTCAAAAGTTAAACTAAGAAATAACGTAACTATTTCCACACAGATTTAAAGTGGATATAGTTTCTGAGCTCTCTGCTATAGTTCCAGAAGCAGTTTTTAGACTTTAGAAAGAGTGAGACGCCAAAAATTTAACTGGGGCACATTTGGATAGATTCAGGACATCCCAGCCACATTGAACCTCTCTTGCTAACAGAAGTAGTGTTTCCTTCCACTTGGTAAGGCTGGTCCTCTCCACCTTAGAGATACTGTATTGACTTCATCTGAGGAAGTTACATGATAAGGGTATGCTAAATCTCTACCTGTACCACCCCAGTCAGTCTTCACTGCCTCTAGACTGAATAATAACTAGAGTCAGAGCCCATGCTATAGGACAGGTGCAAAGTATAACTATAACCCAAGAGGAAATGGCTCCCTTACAAAAAGGACGGCAGTATTTTGCTAATTTACATGGGAAGGAAACTGGGGGAAATGTATGGCATTGGATTTTAAGGACTTTTGATTGGGGAGGCTTGGACCCAAATTTACTAGGAGTACACTTACCAGAAATTCTATGTTCAGATTTCTGGCTCAGACAAGTGAGAGTGATTCTACATGGTTACCTGGTTGTTTTAAACATGAAGTCAATGGTGGCCCACACTAGGCCACCAAGGGTGATATGTCAGAAATTCCTAGTTTAATGTAGAGAAAGAGTTACAGAGAAGAGAATATTGGAATGGATTCATGATGTATGACCTGTGCGCCCGCTCCTCTGACCTCCAAGAAGGCCTTAGAGAATGCCCCCTTCACCAAGATCTTGAAAAATCAATTGTTGAGGAATGACTCATCCTTGAAAAACACTGTAACGGCTGTCCTATTTTGACCAGGAAAAAGTGGGAAGCACAGCAATTCAAAATTTGTTATTGTTGTTGTTTTTCCCCTGATTTCAAGAGGAATGTTAAAACCCAAAGAGGCAGAGGCTTGGTGGAAGCATGTGGGCAACAAAGACAAAAGGATGAGTTACCAGAATAAACATCAGGGACGCAGAGCTAATAAGACTAAATTGACCTGCAGGTGTCTTTGGTGGTGGCTAATTTTTACGATGTCCCTATGACTGAAACACAGCCTACTCCTTTGTCTAACCCACTTAATCTATATAGTCATCCTACCCCAAAATCTCAGTCTAGTGAATGAAGCCCTGATTTGAGGAAGCATCAGGGAAAATTAGGGCTTCTCGACTAATTCCCAGCCGGCCCATCCTCACCAGCTCCAGGCCAGGTACCACACAGGAAAGGGCAGGGGCATCAGGAAACACCGCCTTTTAAGTGCGGACTCTGAATTGGGAAGTCTCTATCAAGGAGAGTTTCCTCAGAAGGACCCTAACACCTTGGTTTTGGGCGGGGTCCTGGCTGGACAGTCTTCAGTGAGGATCTGAGTGAAGCTGAGAGGGTGACATTTCTCACTCAGACAAGGAACCTGAAAGCGCAAGGGTGCGCCGTTTCCGCCCGTCCATGTCCGTCCGTCCATTTCCGCCCGTCCATTTCCGCTCTGCCGAAGGCCCTGTCCGGTGCGAAGGCCCTGCCTGATCCCCCATCGGTGCCTGTGGTTCCAGCCAACACCAGGGCAAGGCGCGAGCTGCCGCGAGGGGGCGCCACGAGAGGGACTGCCGGTACCCATGGCCTCTGCGGGCGTCCGCTCCCTGGGCCTCCTGGCCTGGCTCCTGATCCTTCAGCCTGGGCTCCGCGAGGCCCCAGCGGGCAGGCCGGAGCCACCGCTCTCTCCCTCCCCTCCCCCCTCAGGGGGCCGCGAGGAACCGGGAGCAAACAGGTGGCAGCCACCACCTTTAGGGGCTCAGGGATCTCCAATGGCCCTCAAATCCTCTTTGTTTACGTTTACCCCAGGTGACTCTTGGCGTGCAGGGTCCTGGGATGGGGCTGAGGCGCCCAGGGTTGGGGCGGGGGCTACCTGGGAGCCTGGGAGGCTCTGCGCTGGGAAGTCTGTGGCCCCGGAATCTAAAGCGCTGCCCTAGAGTCCAACAGGACGTGGCCTCCTTCTTGGCTGTCTTTGGGGCCTGTGGTACTTTCCCCGGGAAGCCCTGGGCGCAGGGGAGACAGGCCCTGCGTCTTTCAGTTGTTCTTCTGACACTGTGCTCACCCCAGCGTGTGGCCGTTCCTTCCTGAAAATCGTGGGAGGAGTGCATGCAGAGGAAGGAAAGTGGCCCTGGCAGGTGAGCGTGAGGATCAACGGCAGGCACATCTGCGGAGGCTCCCTCGTCACGTCGAAGTGGGTGGTGACTTCGGCCCACTGCATTATGGGGTGAGGGATGACAAGTGGAGATGTGAGAGTTCTGGAGTCAGTCCTGCCCTCCTCAAACACCCACTGAGTTCTACTGCCCTGGCAGATTGACAAAAAACGAAATAAAACACACGCAATAAAATGGGAGGGGTTCTGCCTCTGTCACCTTGTTACTAGGAATATTTAAGGGGCAGGCAAACCAATTTTTAGAGTGATCAAGGAGGGGTTTTTGGTGAGGGAGATAGGGTGATAGAGAGTGGCAAGGGAGGTTGGGTGTTTGGGAAACATCTGAAATGTGTGGAAAAGGCACAAGTGATGTTTCCCAGGGTCTCTATGAAGGACATGTTCTCTCTCCCACAGCCGTTTCCGTTACAGTGTCAAGATGGGAGATCGGAGTATCCATGAGAAAAACACAAGTCTGGTGGTCCCTGTTAAAAACGTCATTGTCCACCCTCAGTTTGCAACTTTTACAACCGTTGAAAATGACCTTGCCATTCTCAAGCTCCTCTACTCTGTGAATTTTACTTCCAACATCCAGCCTATCTGCATCCCTCGGGAAACTTTCCAGGTGGAAGCTGGGACCAAGTGCTGGGTGACTGGATGGGGCAAAACAAAAGAAGGCGGTGAGACTTCAAGGCAGGAGGCAAACTCAGGGCAGAGGGGAGGCAGCCTTATCCCTAGAGTGGACATGAAGGCTTAAGGGAGGGATAGGGAGGTAGACTGCCTGGCAAGTGGCAGGTGAGTAAGGGGGAAGCAGTTTAGCAGCACTCAGGGTAATGGTTCCTGATTGGCTTGGGTCACCCCAGAAACTGGGTTGGGTTCTTTTGTTGCAACACAAATATTTGATAGCCATTTAGGAAAGTTGCTTGTCCTGGGAACTGGAGTTGCTCAACTAGGAGAAGAAACATATGGGCAAAGTCTCCTGCAGATTTTGTGGGGCCCTGTGTTCAACTGGTTTGGGGGTATTTTTAGGTTCTTTGGAGACAGAGCCAGATGCTCTGGAGTTCTCTTGAGGGCGCATTTTTGCTCAGGGGGTGATGAGCTGTCTGCCAATCAGAGCTGCTCCTCACTGGAAGTACCTGCTTAGGTGGTTAGGGAACTTCCCGTCCCTGGAGTGTAGGGAGAGCCAGAAGACCCCTGTTTGTGAGGTGCAGGGCCTCCTATCCCTGGGGAGAGGCTGGATTTGGAACCTTTGGGGCACTACCTGTCTGGTGATCCTGCTCTAGAAAGTAAAGATGCTTTATTGATGCACAGGACACCCTGTCACTATTATTATACTACTGATACTTGGAGTGACAGGTGCTTGGTTTTGATTTTTCAAGCTGGCAAGGTCTTGCCTTTCCCTTTTCTGAAATATTCTTCCTGCTCCTGTCTTGATTTTGCTTCTTACATCCTCCTCTTCCCATGTCAACTTTGGGCCTCAGTTTCCTCCTTTGTCAAATTGTGGCAATACTCACTGTCCTGCCTTCTTCCGGGAGGACACTGGGTGTTTGGGGGCTTACTGTCCACTTGTGCAGATCCACACACTACTCATCTTCTTTGTTAGTGGAAAATCTTCCAGCAGAAATTCTCCAGGAGGTGGAGGTACAGGTCATCCGCTATGAAAAATGTAATGAGATGATGCAGAAGATCTTGTCATCTGCTAGGGATATAGTACAAAAAGGGATGCTCTGTGGCTATGGAGGAAAAGGAAAGGATTCTTGTCAGGTAAGTTCATGGGCCCTTTCCTCCCAGGTGGTAGGGCCTGGGTTATTCGCTACCTCCTCTATTCACTCCGTTGAGTTAAGGAGATTCATGGAGAGAAACCTGCCATGGCTCTCCTGAGCTGACCTGGCCTGTTCCTTCAAAAGTGAACAGCTCTCACTGCCTGGGGGCACTGCTGGAGTGTGGGAAAGTTGGGGGTGGGTCATGCTAATAATATACATTGCATTAATTGAGTTCTTCCTTTGTGACACTCACCATGCCAATGTGAGCATTAACCCACGTTATCTCAGTTAACCTACATCACAACCCTGTGATACAGACATCACACTCATTATACAGATGTGGAAGGTGAGATCCACAGACATTAGTTCCAGGTTCTGCTGTGAGTACCCGTAGGACTCCCAGGCCCACACTCTGCCCTCTGCATCAAGCTGCCTTCCTGAGTTGGAGGCATTTGAGCCAGGTCTTGGAGGATCAGTGTTTGGACTTCTTAGAAAGAGGAGAACGGCACTGGAGGGAGAGAGAATAGCGTATACAGCAGCTCAGAGGTCTGAGGGAACTTGTCACATCCAAGAAACATTTTACACCTTTCGAGCAATGAGGTAGCAAATGTGGCCAGAGAAGCGCGCTGGAGTCAAAATATGTGCAGCTTGGAATGCTGCTCCAAGTTTCTAGATTTCACTCTGGCAGGACCTGGGAGGCGGGGCTGGGTGAGCCCGATCAGAGTTGCCTTTTAGATAAATGAGTCCCTGAGCTGTGTGGTGCATGGGCTGAAGTCCAGGAACTTGTTTTCATTATCTGGCAGTGAAAAATTGAGTCCCAGGCAGTGCCTGGGGCATTGAGGCACATGAAGGTGTGCTCGAGGTCGTATCTTGGTTCTTGGTGACTGACTGCATGTGGGGCTGGGGTGGGGGAGAGTTTGACCTTGCGTTTCTGTCTGAGGTAGTTCGTGGTGGGGCCACCAGAGCAGGTTTGGGAAAGGACACACAGAGTTATGCTTTCGTTGGTGTGTGTAGGATGTCTGAGAGTGGAACATAGAATGTGGAGGGTGCTGGCTATATAAATGAGGAGCTCTGGAGAAACTGGAAAATGTGAGGATTTAGCCCTCTGCGTGGGGCTGCCATGCGGAGGTGATATCCAAAATGTTTAACAACCACTGTGGTTTGGAAAATGACCAGTCATAATTTCTTCAGAGGATATTAAAGTTTTCCCATTAACTTTTCTCTTTTTTTCTTGTTTATTTATTTTAGAGACAGGGTCTCCCTCTGCTACCCAGGCTGGAATGCAGTGGTGTGATCATAGCTCATTGTAACCTGAAACTCCTGGGCTCAAGGGATCCTCTCACCTCAGCCTCCCCAGTACTAGGACCATAGGCGCGCACCAACACCCCCAGCTGATTTTATTTTTTGTAGAGACAGGGTCTTGATATTTTGCCCAGGCTGGTCTCAAACTCCTGGCCTCAAGTGATCCTCCTGCCTCGACCTCCCAAAGTGCTGGGACTACAAAGTGTGAGCCACCACGCCTGGCCAAATTTTCAGTTCCCATGTTCACATATTCAGTTCTCATATTCCCAGAGACCTGGGCCTGATGGGGCCTTTGACGTGCCAGGGGGAGCCCTGTGTGTGCCTGTCCCCCCAGCTCCTTGCAGTGCAATCGGCCTGCTTTGATGTGGATCCTATTCTGTTTCTGAAGTTTCTTTCTTTCTCTTTCTCCAGGGAGATTCTGGGGGCCCCATGGCCTGTGAATATAATGACACGTGGGTCCAAGTGGGGATTGTGAGCTGGGGTATCGGCTGTGGTCGTGAAGGAATACCTGGAGTTTACACAGAAATTGCTTTCTACAGCAAGTGGCTGGTTGCAGTGGTGAACCAGTCTACCTCTTTGTATTCGGTGGTGTTCCTCATCTTACTCCTATGCTTTGTGCAGTCCCTGGGCATCTTGGTGACTCCATGATGGCCCCAGCCCACTCCCCTCCTGTTTCTGAGTCTCAGACTTAGGTATCCTCTTTGACCAACCTCCTGCTCCTTCTCTGTGCCCTTTCCTCAAATCCCAGTTGTGATCCACTGGCCCTTTGGAGATCCACACAAGCGAGCATGGCAGGGAGACTGGGGCCTGGAAAGTGTCCCTGCTGGGTACTCCTGTCACCTGCCTTGGCCACCCCTACACCTGGGCTATGCTCTGCCTGGTGGGAAGGAGGGAATGAACCGATGCCAGCTAGGGGGCCAGCCGACTTGCCAGGTGAGGTGTGATGACTCATCGCCATCTTGGGGAACAGCTGCCAAAGAAGAGACACCATCAACGGTGAAACAAGCATTAGACCTGGCCCTGGTTTCAGGGCTCTCACCTGAGACTTTGTGAAACCAGTCAGTTTGGTGATCGCTCAGAGAGTGAAGGAGGCGTTGCCAGGTCCCTGCAGAGATGCGAGGCCTCGAATACATATGGCTCAGTCGTCTGGGGTTGGGAGAAGCTCCCCTGTACCCCACTGTGGATCCATCTGTGAGTGGACAGCCTCTGCCACACAAGCCCTCTTGGGATGACCCATTCTTGACAACCCCTTCCTCAGTGCCCTAGCGGTCACATCCAGGGACACCCCATGTTGTTTTGAGACAGTTATAGAGTGCAGTTATCAGAAATCACCTGAATAAAAAATGTTTAGAGAATCTCCTGTGTGTTCTGCATTTCTACTGGCCTGGAGGTTGGGGACACTGAAGAGAACTTACTTACCTCATGTTAAGCTTAGGAAAATGTTGATGGTTCTTTTTAAATCATAGAGTGAGAGGGGAGGCCTCTGCCTACCCTGATGTGAGCTGGACAAATGGTTTTAGAAAGTTGGATTCTGCTGTTTGTGTTCCTGCTAACAGGCAAAAACCCAAACTCTATAAAATAATTTAAAGATTTTTATTCTGAGCCTAATATGTGTGACCATGGTCTGGGGAACCATGCCCGGGAAGTCTTGAGCAAGCTTTCCTGAGGTGGTTGGGCTACAGTTTGGTTTTACACATTTTAAAGAGACAGGAATTGCAGGTCAAATTATACATCAGTACATGGAAGTTATATATCGGTTTGGCCTGAAAAGGTGGGACATCTCCAAGGGGTAGGGGTGTATAGGTTATAGGTGGGTTCAGAGATTCTTTGATTTGTAATTGGTTAAAGAAATAAAGCTTTTGGCCGGGCGCGGTGGCTCACGCCTGTAATCCTAGCACTCTGGGAGGCCGAGGCGGGTGGATGGCTCAAGGTCAGGAGTTTGAGACCAGCCTGAGCAAGAGTGAGACCCTGTCTCTACTAAAAAATAGAAAGAAATTAGCTGGACAACTAAAAATATACATATAGAAAAAATTAGCCGGGCATGGTGGCACATGCCTGTAGTCCCAGCTACTCGGGAGGCTGAGGCAGGAGGATTGCTTGAGCCCAGGAGTTTGAGGTTGCTGTGAGCTAGGCTGATGCCACAGCACCCTAGCCCGGGCAACAGAGCAAGACTCTGTCTCAAAAAAAAAAAAAAAAAAAGAAATAAAGCTTTGTGTAAAGGCTTGAAATGTTTGAAGTTAAGATAAGGAAGTCTGTTAATCAGAGACAAGCCACAATATCTATTAAGGAAATTGATGGCCTGCAGGTGATTTAACCTTTGCTCCACATGGCCTTAGGTCCCGTTAATAATTTAGTATCTTATTGTCTGAGGGCTATCTGACCTCCCTTCCCTTCATGGCCGGGAACTCAGTTTTAAGGGTTTTCTGGGGTCCCCTTGGCCACTGGGGGCCTGTTCAATAGGTATGAGGGGCAGGGTAGAGTTTATTTTAGTTCACACTCCCCATAACCATCAGCATTTCCACATGGAGATTTGTAGCTGAGTTTGCTAGTATTGCACTGGGAAGGAGGAAGGGAGAGAGACTGGAAACCAGGGAGCGGTCAGGGCACTGCATCCCAAATTGCATCCTCCATTTCCTGCCTCTTTCTGCCCTTCCCTCTCCAGGTAGTAGAGTCTTGAGCACCAGATTGCTTTAGTAAGGCTCTGTGGAGATGATTAGGTTGGGTTGCTTACTGTGTCCAGTCTATTTCCCTCATTACCTTGTGGCCCCAGGGTAGCTCTTTGTAATGACGCAGAGCACTGCATTGTTCCCAGTTTCTTTTTTTGTTCGGGGACACTTTGAATTTGCCTCCTTTTAGGAAAGGATTGTTGTGTTTTCCATATGGAAAGAAGGTCCATGTGACTATTTAGGCAAATAAAGACTGGTAGAGATTGGTAATCATCTCCCCTGGTGCTTTCCCTTCCTTCTCAGCATGTATTAGTAGCTGATCAGAATAAAGACTACATTTCTAAGCCTCTTTTATCTCCAGGTGTGGCACGAGTTCTGGCCAAGTGGATATAAACAGAAATGTTAGTTGTGAATTCTGGGAAATATTCTTAAAGGGAGGCCAAGCTGTTCTTCATCCTTTTCTTCTCTCTTGGCTGGACTGTGCACATGGTGGCCAGAGTGTGAGCAGTCATCTTGGGACATGAAGAACACGCTAAGGTTATGCAACAACAATTTAAAAGGAACTTGGCTCCCTGGAATTTGTAAGGCTGCCGTTACAGCCCTTTATGCACAGAGAAGTAAGATTCATTTTTAATGAAACCACTGTCATCTGGGGTCTCAGTTACTCATAGAAAAACTTTATTCTAACGAATTCAATTTGTATCATCTGGAGCTTTATTTCTGGATTGTTATGAATATAGATCTTTTTAAGTCATTCTTTAGATTAAATTCTTAATTTCTACTTTTCTATATCTCATTGCTTCCTTCTCTATTCATTTTTTTTTAAACTAAGGTTAAAAGCTTATGTTTACATGGTTGTATTATCTCAATGTATTTCTAGATTCTTCTTTAGAAGTATAATTTATATATAGTAAAATGCACAGATTATAAAGTACAACTTTATGAGTTTTAATACATGTATACCTTATGTTAACATCACCCAAATCATGATAGAGAACATTTCCATTGTCAACCTAAATGGACAAAACTGAGAAACGTAATAAAATTTTAAAGAGTTTACTTGAGCCAAAATGAGGACAGCTGATCAGAAGAATTAGACCCAAGTAACCTCGGATATGAGCTCCATTTGGCCTTTGTTTCGGCAGGTTTTTTTATTTTTTTTTTATTTTCTATTTTTTTTGAGACAGAGTCTTGCTCTGTTGCCCAGGCTAGAGTGTTGTGGCGTCAGCTTATCTCAAACTCCTGGGCTCAAGTGATCCTCCTGCCTCAGCCTCCCAAGTAGCTGGGACTACAGGCATGCGCCACCATGCCCAGCTAATTTTTTCTATATATTTTTAGTTGTACAGATAATTTCTTTCTATTTTTTAGTAGAGACGGGGTCTCACTCTTGCTCAGGCTCGTCTTGAACTCCTGAGCTCAAATGATCCTCCTGCCTCAGCCTCCCAGAGTGCTAGGATTAAAGGCATAAGCCACTGCACCCGGCCTGTTTTAGCAGGTTTTTAAAGGCAAAAAGGGGGACAAGGAGTTACCTGATATAAAGTTGTTTGTCAGGAATTCTCATTGGTTTACAGAAATAACATTGATTACTGTGGTGATGGAAAAACCCAAACTCTGTAAAATAAAGAGGTTTATTCTGAGCCAGATATGTGCAACCGCAGTCCAGGGAACATGGTCTCAGGAGGTCTTGAGAAAATTCACACAGGGTGTCCGGGTTACAGTTTGTTAAGTAGATGGTGAGGGATTCTGGGTCTCCCAGGGACAAAAATGGGTACTGTTAACAGCCTTGGTACAATTGCTCCACCTGGGAAGGACAAGGATGGGTCCCAGGCCACCATCTTGGTCCTGCCCCACCCTAATCCTGCCCTGAGCTACTGCCATACCTGGAGGAGGAGGGAATACCCTACAAATCTGCCAATCAGAACTTAGCACACCAGCTGCAAAAGAATGCAGAGGGCTCTCTAGCCCACAAGCCAAGCAGCATCGGTAACACAGAGTCTGGAAATTGACCTAGAACAACCTGCATGTGTAGTAATGCAACTTCCAACTGTCCAATCAAAGTGGTTCCACAGTGATGTCTGAGCCACAAGGGAAGTCCCAATCTGGGAACTATAATACAAGACACAGACCATAACCAACTCCTTTTTGGCCCTTTCCTTTTGCTCTCGCTTAGCTGTGACAATGGGTCTGGTTCTCATCTGTGGCGTATGTATCATGCTCTGTAAACCTATATCTTGCTCTTGCTCTATAATCTTATCTGTCTCCCCTCGATAAACCTCATTTTCATGCTTGCCTTACTTTGGTGCGTCTGGTCATTCTTCAACCATGAGTGCGTCAAGAACCGACATTTCAGACTGAAACTTGATCATATTCATGGAGACAGGAATTAAAGGTAAAACCATAAATCAATACATCGAAGGTATACATTGATTTGGACTGAAAAGGGACATTTTGAAGCGGGGGCTTACAAGTCATAAGTGGGTTTTAGGGATTCTTTGGTTGGCAATTGATTAAAAGAGTTAAGCTTCGTCTAAAGACCTGGAGTCAGAAAGGAACGTTTGAGTTAAGATAAGGGAATCTTCTGTCATGTGATGCTACATCAGAATCAGGTTGAAAAGTAAGTCACATTATACTGGATTAATAAAAACCCATTTAATGAGATTTTATTGCTTGTAGGTGTGACTTACCAGGTCTCTTAGAAAGGAATTTGGGCAAGAGAAAAAAAAAAGGTTGGAGTTCAGTCCTCAAGTGATTGGCTATACATTACACAGGTTTGACGTCCAGCACGCCTGTGACATTGTTAGGTTAGTTCACAGTTACTTGTGGTAAGAGCAAGCAGCTTCAAGAGATGATTACTTAACTCCGAGGAGGAAGCAGAATGTGACTGCTGCCTCATTCCAATGCCTCTCTGAGTCAGATAACTTAGAGGAGGTTGGCATTCCTCAGCTAAAAGGTTTTTTTCTTTCTCACCATCACTCCAGGAAG